AAACATGATCACAGGTAGGAAAAGAAAAAAAGTCAAAACAAAAAGAAGGACTAATAGCAGAAAGAGGCTGAACTTATGAGGAGCTACATTATGAGTAATTTCCCAAGATGATAGTTCATTTCTTCTGAGAAAATCCAGTCATCAGTTTTCTCATGGAATTAATGAGTTCCTTGTTCCTCATGCTGTAGATGAGGGGGTTCACTGCTGGAGGAAACACTGCATACAGGACTGCCACAACTAGATCCAGTAATGGAGAAGACATGGAGGGAGGTTTCATGTTGGAAAATATGCCAGTGCTGAGAAACAGGGAGATCACGGCCAGGTGAGGGAGGCACGTGGAAAAGGCTTTGTGCCGTCCGTGCTGAGAGGGGTTCCTCAGCACAGCCCTGAAGATCTGCATGTAGGACAGCATGATGAAAGCAAAACAGCCAAGTGCTAAACAGACACTGACCACAATAAGCCCAACCTCCCTGAGGTAGGCATCTGAGCAGGAGAGCTTGAGGATCTGGGGGATTTCACAGAAGAACTGATCCACAGCATTGCCCTTGCAGAGTGGCACTGAAAACGTAGTGACAGTGTGCAGGAGAGAACCGAGAAACCCACTGCCCCAGGCAGCTGCTGCCATGTGGACACAAGCTCTGCTGCTCAGGAGGGTCCCGTAGTGCAGGGGTTTGCAGATGGCAACGTAGCGGTCATAGGCCATGACAGTGAGAAGATAATCATAGAATCATAGAATCATAGAATGTTTTGGGTTGGAAGGGACCACTAGAGGTCATCGAGTCCAACCCCCATAATACTCTGCTAATGTCAAGAATGTAAAGAGAAAGAGCTGGACAGCACATCCCAAGTAGGAGATGGCTCTGGTGTCCCATAGGGAATTGGCCATGGATTTAGGGATAGTGGTGGAGATGGAGGCCAGGTCAAGGAGGGAGAGGTTGAGGAGGAAGAAGTACATGGGGGTGTGGAGGTGGTGGTCATAGGCTACAGCTGCAATGATGAGGCCATTGCCCAGGAGGGCAGCCAGGTAGATTCCCAGGAAGATCCAGAAGTGCAAGAGCTGCAGCTCCCGTGTGACTGTGAAGGAGGAGGAACTGGGTGATGGAGCTGCTGTTGGGTAACTGCTGCCTCTGGGTATTGGGACCTGTTCTTAGAGGAAGAGACAATGAAGACTTAGGGGAGACTTCTCTGAGGAAAATCTGATACTTCCACCATGCTACACTTCTCGCTCCCCCTTCCTTTTCCAGCAGACCTTCCTTCTGCTCCATGGCTGCAGATCTGGCTTGTGTTGGCCAAGTGTGCAGTGAGGAGCAGGGGCCTCTGCCCGCTGGCTGCTGAGGAGTCAGCCCTGCTCTGCAGCAGTGAGCTCATGGGAACAGCGGGGGCAGGGGCCAGTCCTGCTCTTTCCTTTTCAGATTAAACCGCTCCTATTGCAGAAGGGTTTGTCAGCATATTCACTCTCCATGTTAAGGAATGAGGATAGCAGAAGGCAATTGGAGAGGTTTGCAGATTTTAAAGCTCCCCCCATCTTACCTGCAGAGCTATCTTGGATGTCAGAAACCCTCAGCATTTCTGCTACACTCAAGGAGAACTGAGAGAGTCCAGCAAGGCAAAAGGATTGCCTGTGGCTTAGTGCAGGGTGAGGGCAGCTGGTCTGTCCCTCAAGTTTTTGTGAGCTGCAACTGGCTTGTTCTTCATGAGATGGAGAGTGGTCACGGTCTTGTGTTATCCCTGAAAAACAACCAGACACTACTGAGAACAGAGGGATTCAGTGAAAATAGCTAAATGTCTCACCCTCTCTCAAGGTCTAAGCACCCCACTTCAAGCCAAGGACACGCATGGCTCAATTCACAAATCCAACACCATTTTCTCCATAGAGAAAATTTTCTTGAAGAAAATATTTTGAGAAAATTTTTTCATGGAGAAAACATTTTCTCCACCTCTGTTCTTCTTCATGGAGTGTTAACAAAGTTTGCGATGGGACAGGTTCAGATTCTGGAGGGCCATACACAGCTCTGAAGGAAACCTCAAACAGATATCCAAGTGCCCTAATGACATCACCCGATTAAGGGAAAACGAGATTATTCTCCAGTCCCACGAGCTGCATTGCTCACAGCCCCACAGGTTAGAGGAAATCTGGAACAGTCATTCCCATGGACACAGCTTCATGGGGGACCCACAACATCAGTGTGTGACTCTGCAGCTGAACTTCCACCTCCCCAGACAGCCTGGCAGCAAGAATGAAATAACAATAGCAAAACTACAGACCACTAGAGGAACAAGGAACAACACAGTGAGCTTAGAGAGGCCAGGGCAGAGGCAGGCGGGCCCTCAGGCTGCGTTACCCTGCCCCAGCTCTGCACGCCAC